GATTCAGGACCAAACTTGCATTTAGACTCATAGAATGAAAATGACAACATCTTGTATTTGTTGAGATTCTTAAATGAAAAGCCTGGCTGAGCCCATCCTAATGTTCCCCTTTCCAAAATGGCAAACTACGAGAGATCACTAAATGATTGGATTTGGATGTATTTAATAAAGAACCTAAGTTCTGTACATTACATAAGAAAATTCCCATTGGGTACCTTTATTCGTACAGCAATCTTATTTGCTAAAAGTTTGCCCCACGCATTACTCCACATAATTCATTCCATACTGTAGATGTATTACAGTGGCAACTATATAAGAAGGTAGAAATAATTTTGAAAAATGCAATCTGTTCAGTGAAAGTTAGCAGTCTGGAGAGAGTTAAGGTGATACAACTAATTCTTGTCGAATATAAAATACACAGCAAAATCCTTTGCCTTTTGTATAAATGAATGGTTGCTATTTTAAAACAGCATGTTTTAATGCTGTTTTAATGCATATTAAATGATACATGTATATCTTAGAATTTTCAACACCTGCAGCAATATTATATGGTATTTTTTGCAACTCCACATGGAAGCAAAATGTAATTTTCCCACTATCATTTTGTGATCAGAGCTTTCCATGTGCAGATCTTAATCCCAAGATTGATTATTCATATGATTAGTTTTGAAAATATGCCTTTATTATTTGCAAAATTGTATTAAATGGATGGCCAAAGGCTATGTTGGTTAAGAGTTACAGTAGCTGAAGTCCAACGCATTTGGAAGGTAAGAAAACCTCAAAGCATGGGGCCAGGCTAGCCCAGAAGAGTCAAATTAGAAAATCCCACAAACAACTGATACTTAAAAATACATTATACATTACATTAAGAAGTTAAGATTTATTGATTTTAAAAGGCATCCAAAATTTGTTGCTTAATGGTGGAGATAGCTTTAAGAATAATCTACAGTAAATTGGCAATGTTATTTAAATCAGTCTCCTGAAATAAAAAATTGGGGGAAATCTGGGGTCAATATGGAAGGATTTATATTCCTTTTAGTCATCCGGTCTCTGTTTTCTTTCTCACAAAAGCTGCTGGTGGCTTGCCAGGGTTAGTGTGTTGTCTGAATGCAACTGAATGTGTTAAGCAGGTTCTTCAAATACAACTGCAGGTAGTCCTCAACTTAAAACAGTGTATTTAGTGACCGTTCAAAGTTACCATGGCACTGAAAAAAGAGACATGACAATTTTTCACAGTCCCAAGGTCATTTGATTCCCTTTTGCAACCTTTTGACCTTTTGACAAGCAGAGTCAACCGGGAAGCCAGATTCACTTAACAACCAGGTTACTTGCTTTTCAGCTGCAGTGATTCACTTAACAACTGTGGCAAAAAAAGGTTATAAAATGTGGCAAAACTCACTTAACAAATGTCTCACTTAACAACAGATATTTTGGGCTCAGTTGTGGTCATAACTCAAGGACTACCTGTCTTAACATGTCTTTATTTATTTGGGTATTTGTTTATTAAATTCATATGCTGCTCCTCTCGCTGCCATGTGATTCTGTGCATGTACAAGTCAATCTACTGCACCACAAGTGACCTATTTTCTGGAAGTAGAGAAGAATAGGCAGGTGCTACCCCTTAGCTGGGCATAAATCTATTCAATTACTCAATTATAAAATTTTAATGCTTGGACTTTAATATTTTATTGTAATTATAGACTTGCCTTTCAGATTCTGATTCAATTAGACAGTTAGATCCAATTTGTGCTTTCAAATATGTGCTTGCTCTATTGTATCTCATTCTCTGAACTAACAGAATAATTCCTGTAAAACCACTGTGGATTGATCTGTCTCCCTGGGCAGTTCTCATTTCTACACAAAATGTGAAGGAAGTTGCCTTACAGGGTGAAACCACTAATCCCCTATCTCAACATTGACAATGCTGCAGTAGCTGATCAAGGTTTTAAAATCCTAACGGCTGTTGACACTTTTTGGATCTTTTTGTAGTTTTTTCGTTACGGAATATGCTTGAATCAGAATCGGAAAAGAGCTGGAAAGGACCTTGAAGTCTTCTAGTCCTGCTCAAAAAGAAGACCGCATACCAGTGAGGACTAACCTTTTCGTCGTCGTGTGCCAAAAGTGTGCGTTCACACAAGCGTGCCTGCACCCATAATGCAATGCACGTGTGTGCTCCCCATGCCATGCTGCGCATGCGCGTGTGACCTCCCGTGCTCCCCCCGCCCCCTGCGCATGCATACGCATCTCCCGCATGCGCCCTGCCCCCCCATGCATGTGGGGCAGGTACCCGACAATCAGCTGGCTGGCGGGAGGCGTGCGTGCATGCGCAGTGGAACTGAGCTAAGGTGACAGTTCACGTGCTGGCAGAGATGGTTCTGTACACCACTTCCGGCAGGTGTGCCATAGGTTCACCATTACGGCCCTATACCATTTCAGACTTGTGGCAGTTCAGTCTTTTCTTAAAAACCTCCAGGGATGAAGCACCTACTTCAACTGCCTACTAGAACATTAATTCACTCGCTTTATTGTTCTAACCATAAGTCGCCTATCTTCAAACTCTTATATTAGTCACCTGATCCAGGGGTGGGCTGCTATGGATAGGCCTCGGTTCGGGACAACCCATAGCTAACATTATGGCTGGTTTAGAGAACCGCCAAATCTTACCACTTGCTGGCCCTGCCCACTGCACCCTATCCCTCCCACCCCACCCCTCCTAGGAGTCTCTGTATGGCCTGTTTTGGATGTGAGGTAAGTGCAGAGTCCATGCGGAGGCTCAGGGATGGCGAAAAACGGGCCTCCTGGAAGTTCCAGAAGGCCGGAAACGGGCCTGTTTCCGGCCTTTAGAGGGCCGCCGTAGCCCGGGGGAGGCTGTTTTCGCATTCCCAGAGGCTCGAGGAAAGCCTCCGAATCCCAGGGAGGGCAAAAATGCCCCCCCCCCGTAGTGCAGGAGGCCGACTAGGCCACAGCCACCATGGCCACGCCCACCCAGCAAGTGGGCAGACAACCTGTGGCTGACATTTTTGAAGCCCACCCCTGTCCTGATCTCTCCCAAATCTAACACATCCTAACCTTTAAATATTTCTATATTCTGCACCAGAAACACCACTGTGTACACTGGAAAAAGAACTATTAAGAAAATAAGTTATGACATTTTGCAAGGAGAGCCACTCTCTATTCCTCATTTATGCCACTGCCTCTTTTGCTATGTACAAATCTGCAGCTCCTTAAAGGGGTGTTTCATCTGTATTTTTAATGTGATTCTTAAAGAAGCCTGAAAAAAGATGTGGTTCTTTAATGCGTAGCAGAAAGATAATTGTGCAAATACCCAAGCACTTCTGATCACTTTCCAAGCATGCTTAACCCTACAAATAGATGGCTAAAATGGTTAATGTAAATAAAGAAGCTAGGTTCCTTATCTTAATTTATTCCTCTATGGTTAGATATGTTTTATCCTCCAGCTCTAACCCCTTCAATTACCCAAAGATATCCTGCTGTCTTTTGTTTTTCTGCCCATAGTCGGTTGCTTGGAATTTGAAATAGCCACAAGCAATTATATATTATAGGAAAGAAGATATTGGACCAGACAGGTTTCCAAACTGATCAAGCGGGGGCTTCCATATCTTCCTAGGTCCCGTTTAATTCTTTGGAGCAGGGATTTCTATAATATTTACCTCAAACTGAAAAGCTCCAGATGGTAATTGATAAATGCGTCACTAAAACAGCCATCAACAGCAGATCCAGAATAAATATATTGCATAAAGAATGAGGTAAGAAGAAGCTAAGAAAGGAACCGACTTATTTATGCAAAGTACAATATCTTCTACAAAGGTCACAAGGAGTTCATTGGGAGTTTGCTTAAAATGAAATATGAAATATGAAAGTAATCCACAATGACACACTGAAGTCCAATCACTGAAAGTCAATAAACGTTGGTTTAAGTGGACTGAAATGGAACTGTGCTTATCTGCTCCCTTCCTCTTCTAGTCAAATTAAACCAGTTTCTTTTGTGAGGGAGAACTGTGGTTGATGCTGGCCATTTTTCATTATGCTTTATAAAAACACAAGAGCATAGTCAATCTTGATCTAATAAGCCATCATGATTTATTTAGCAAAGAACATTATGTCTGAATTAATTTTTTTAGTAAATTGCAATGATAGTCTTTCTGAAGAAAGCAGAATATGATTCTCTGATATACCTCTAAAGCAGCTGCAATTGTTAAAAAAGATGACCATCTTGTTAATCAATATTTGTTCAACTAGCATTCCAGGGAAGTGATAAATGTCATTTGACTTGCAATTTTAAACAGCTTTTGTATCATTCACATTTCCTAAATTCATATGCAGATTTATCTCAATTTTCTGATACAAGGCTCCATACATGCAGACAAAATACATACCCCCAAGAATGTGTACATGTACATAAATAAAATTTGCCTATTCTTTAAAAACAGAAGAATTTGGGTGGAATTGGCTTGTAAAGAAAAGTATCTTTTCAATAGAAGTTGACTCCTCCTTATGATGTCACATAGACATCTATGTAGCTTTGTTGGCAACATTATGAAAGTGATTTGTCTTCTTACCGTCTTCAATTTCCCAGTTTAGCCTAGAAACCTGGCTTGTAATGATCGCCAAGTACTAACCATTTTCAACTTTTTGATTTTGGAAACCAGCTTGTTTAGCTTTTTGAGACCAACCGCATGAGATTTTTAGCTATGCAAAGCTGAGTTGGGCAGGGCATATCCCAATATGGTTTCCTGTGAAAGTTCATATTTACAGCCCCCAAAGGGCTGTTTCCAAAAGGCAACTGGACTTTCTTGTGGTTTTTTTTCTTTCTATGAAAACGTTTCATTTCTCCTCCAAGAAGCTTCTTCAGTTTTTGGAGGAGAAAGGAAACATTTTCAAGGGAAAAAAACCAAGGAAGTCCAGTTGTCCTTTGGAAAAGCACCTTTGGGACAACCATGACCTGGATGATTGAGCATCTTCACAGACATCCTACTTACAGGTTCCAGAACTCCTGACTCTGGAGCCTTTCCATCCTCCTCTTCCGGTGCTTCATTCTCCTTATTGTCAATCCAGGTGGCCGTATCCTGAGCAGAACAAGTGCTAATTAGGTCTGGCAAACTTGTAGATGGATAATGAAGAACATCTTCTTCTGCTCTTTCCTACAAGAAGGGAAGAACAATACATGCCATTACATATATGAGTATATTCATTCAATAGTTGGGACCACAACTATTGAATGAATATTCAGTAACTACCATTGTGTGCAACCTATGACCATCATTAAGTGTTATACCTTATGATTGTTGACAAATGTATCTTTTCTTTTTATGTACACTGAGAGCTTATGCACCAAGACAAATTCCTTGTATGTCTTGGCCAATAAAGAATTCTATTCTATTCTATTCTATAAAATAAGCATCACAGTATAAATAATGATCAGTTGCCAAGATTTCCCTTGGTTGCCATAGTAATACTGAAAAAAAGGTTGTTGTTTTTTAAAAAAAGTTAATTTCCATCTTTGATGCATCTGAGGAGATCATTGGACATGTTGAAGATCATTCAAATATACATAAAAGCCTTGTTCAGTGATTGTTTGCAATTGTGATTAAAAAAAAGTAATTTTGTGACCAATTCCTGCATTTATGATGTTTACACAGCAAAGCAAAACTGAAGTAAGATCATAAGCACAATCATAGTTTCACTTAGGGACTGCTTCACTTAATATCAAATTGTCGGACCCAGTTGTGGTCCTAAATAAGGATTACCTACAATCCTTCCATACTTGTAGGCAGCCTATTTCCATAATACCAACACTTTGTTGCAACCTGCCTAGAGTTGCTGCTAAGTGAGATGGGCACCACATAAATTTCATAAATAAGCAGCAGTTTCCTTTTCTTTCTTTTTTTTAAACTAAATTTTATTAAGTTTCCAAATTTTAAAAACATAAAATAAAACTTTATACATTGTTATCAACATCAAGACATCTTTTGCATCTCTTCACATTTTTCAGTATAAGTATTTACTTATTCCTTTACCATTACATCCTACTCTTACTATAAATCAATATCTTTTATCCTTACATCTCAATCTTCTCCATGGTATATTTACATATTTACATATTCCATCATTCTTTTCCTAATTGCCATTTTATTTTCTTTTTATTTCTAAACCACTCATACCAGGCATCCCAGGCCCTATAGTAAATTGAATCTTCTCTGTTGTTTTTTTATTTTCATCGTTAGCCTGTCCATCTCTATACAATCTATTACAAAATAATTACTTTTCATATAGTTGCCATGTAGTAGGTTTCCAGCCTCCCACTTTGCTATTTCTAAAATATTTTAGTTGGTTTTATAGGTAGTATTTTGGAAAATTACTTTAGGACAGGGGTATAAAACTCAATTTCATTGAGGGCCGCATCAGGGCTGTGGTTGACCTCGGGGTGCCGGGTGGGTATGGCTGAATGGGTGGCCATGGCCAGCTTAACGCCATTCCCCAAACGGCTTGCACGTTTCCTCTTTATATTGGGTAAACTGGGCTGAAGCCACACTGGCCCAATGTTTCCTCTTCTCATTGGTTAGACTAGGCCGAAGCGACATGCGTAGACCAGGCCAAAGTAATGCGGGTAGACCAGGCTGAAGCGATGCAGGATTGCCCTTTACATTTTCCAGGCCCTGTGGGCAGGATCCAGCCACAACACGGTCCGGATACAGCCCACAGGCCTTGAGTTTGACAGCCCTGCTCTAGGATAAAGGAATTGAAAGACTGCATCTGAAGGAGTGGATATCTTGACTAGAGGGTAACCCTTGTTTCCAGTATTACCAGCCAAACATTCACAGTTCTTTCTCAATCAGTAAATTCACTACATGGTACGGCTGAGAATTGTCTTTTCTATGGCTTCCATTTGACAAATGCCATTCAGAGTCAACAGTTGATTCTCCAAATGATAGGAGATCAAGAACCAAACAAGTTTGGGCAAAAATTCTCTTTGGTTTCACTTGCAAAAATGGGTGCCGCGCTGCTTTTAAATAGTTTAGTTAGCTTTGTGCTTTTATTGCATAACTGACGTATAACTGATAAAATGCATATTGTTATCCACCCCAGTTGCAATAATAAAAGAAGTGTATGCTTTTAGTTCACATAAAACATGTTTTGGCAGAGTTACTTCCTCCAAGATTTTAAGTCAGTTCCACAGAAGGTGTAAGTGCAGGAAGAATTTATGGAAACATGGAGCAATCTGGCAAGGAGCCAAACTCCATCAGCTAAGAACAAACTTACTGACAGCTATTCTAAATGGCTTTAACTGATACCAATGAGAGACAAAAGCCAAATATGTTGGATAGTTAATAACTCCAACTGTTGCTGAAGTTACTTTAGTGTTGCACACCTTAAGACTTGTTCCACTAAGCATGAATGCAATTGGATAATTGTTCAATTATAGGACAAGAATTTGAATTTATACAGGATCATCTACAGAAGGGTCTCCAACCTTGACAACTTCAAGACATGGCTGACTAAGGAATTCTGGGAGTTGAAGTCCAGAAGTCTTAAAGTTGCCAAGGTTGGAAACCCGTGACCTACAATACATATCCGTTCTGAAAATGTACTTGAACAATTGAATCTATTTTTATTGTCCATTTTAAGGATTGGCAATTTTTGACCTTCTAGCTGTTGTTGGAATACAGTTACCACCATATTATCATCTTTTAATGACCCCATAATCCCTTGCGGAGTGGAGTCTGGGCAACTGAATGGAGCCAAGTGTTTACTGCCGGATGCCCTTCCTGTTGCCAATGCGGAGTTATATTCAGCAGATATATTCTCATCGTGGCCAGAGAGAGAAATATCTGCCTCTACCTAGGATTGAACTCACAGCCTCCTTATTGTGAGGCAAGAGCTCCACAGCTAAGCCACTGCACCACTCTGACTACAGTTACCATCATTCCTGCTAATTAGCCAACTTGATGTGAGAGGTCAACAATAGCTATCTGCTGGTTTCCCATTCCCTGAGTTATCGTATCAACAATATAGTAAGCACCTTCTCCAAGAGTCATAATAGGATTCAATCAATTTTACATATAGTTTGATATGGTTGATTAGATGCCTACAGAACAGGGAAATGGAGCTTCTACCTGGCTAAAGGTTGAACCAGGATTTCTATACCATGTTGAAAATAAACTCACTGCAAAAATGCCCACAATTGCTGGGAGGAAGTTTCAGAATTTTTAAAAAATAAAATGGATGCTTTAACCATTTAACCATTTAACTGCAAGGTTTTAAAGCATCCATTTTGATCTACAGCAAGGGTCTTCAAACTTGGCAAGTTTAAGACTTGTGGACTTCAACTCTCAGAATTCCTGAGCTAACATGACTGGAGGAGGAATTCTGGGAGTTGAAGTCCTCAAGTCTTAAAGCTGTCAAGTTTGAAGACTCCTGATCTACAGTATAACATCCTGATTTTAAAAATAGTCTTATTCCACCTGCTATCAACTCAAATTCTCAACTGATTCTCTCCATGGTTTTTATTGGTCCTTCATAGAAAAAAAAGTTTTTCAAGTCCTGAGCTAATTGATCCAATCCTCTCATAAGGTAGATTCCTAAAGTTGATGTCCATCCATCCATTATTTTTTCTTAGTCAGTTTTGCATTTTCAATACTAAAGGTGATGATATCTTATAAAAAAAAGAATCTTGTAATCTTCTATGTTTTGTTCAACATATGAAATCATATACACAAAATTACTTACCCTGCTTGCCACCACTAAGTACACAAGGCCTTCCGCTGACCGGAGTAGAGCGACAGCATCTTGATGGGACAGACCAACCAAAGACTGGCCATTGATCATTAGAAGCTCATCACCCACCTTCAGCCTGCCATCTCTAAGAAAACGAAGAACAAAATAGGCTTTATGCCATCCCAAAAAGAAAAACCTGCCTCGCGTGCTTAGCTTCTTCAGCCTTAAAAGAGGACTTGACAAGCTGGAAAATTCATGATGATATCAGAGGTCAGAGACAATGCTGGGTTATAGCTAAAATATTCCTTAGTAAATGTTTACCTCCATCCCAAGATTAAGACATAGACAAATAAGTGTCCATGCTTGATCTGGAAAATATGGCTCCATTCCATCCTCTTCAGAGGGAAATTTCAAGGTGAATATCAGAGGCTGTGTCTGCATTTTGTTAATAATGAATATTTAACTTCATGTTTACTTAACACTTTCCTCTGGAGAGTCTCAGAGTGCTTTATAAACTCGAACAGCATCACTAGTAAGTAGGTCAGCTCTACTACTGAATTTTCACTCATTTGTTTTGGAGTAGTTAACTCTGCATGGACTCATTCTGGTCCTAGCACTTGATCCTTCCCAGTATTAAATACTGGGGTGCTAGTCTTAATGGACAAGTCCCTTTAAGCATTTTTTTTTGTCAGTGGAAAAGTCCATGCTAAAACTCCTAAGGCTTGAGAATTTGATCTAATTTCTCATTTGGGAAAGGAAATCCCACAATCCACTGGCAGAAACGAATGTCAGAAACAAAAGCAAACCAAACAAACAAAAAATCCTTCCCAAGAGAATTCTTAAATACAAGAATTCCCACGGATCCCTTTTCTTTTAAGAACTTCCCTTTAAGGTTTAGTACTTAAAAGTCAGATTGCACCCCACCCAACATGGATTGTATTTTCAATACTTTGATGGGCTGCACCTAGGATGGCCAATGGCAAGATATATTTTTTTCTGAACCTGGGCATTCTACAACTCCCAAAAGCTACAACTTTGTAAAACGTCAGCAATTTTTTTCCTTTCTTTCTTGCATGGTTTTGGGCTTGGGTGTAGAGCAGGTTAATGACCCTGAAATCTAAGTTATATCCCTTTTCCAGTACTAATGAAAGTTTTATTCCTTATTATTATCATCTAACAACTAGACACGAGAACAGTTTTTTCCTGAAAGCCATCACTCTGCTAAACAAATAATTCCCTCAACACTGTTCAACTATTTACAAAGTGTGCACTACTATTTCTGTTAATCTTCTCATCACTCCTTATCACTCATCCCCTCCCACTTGTGATTGTAGGACTGTAACTTTGTATCCTTACGATTTATATTGACTGTTTCCTAGTATTATTTGATTGTTGATTGTACCCTATGACTATCATTAAGTGTTGTACGTTATGATTCTTGATTCTTAATGAATGTATCTTTTCTTTATGTATACTGAGAGTATTTACATCAAGAGTGTCACACTTGGCCAATAAAGTATTCTATTCTATTCTATTCTATTCTATTCTATTCTATTCTATTCTATTCTATTCTATTCTATTGCAGGCCAGACAGATTACATGCAGTAAATTATGCTATAAAAGGTTGGCTTGTTTTCTTTTTCTTTCTAAACTTACAAATTCTTCCATTCTGCAGAAAGAGGCAGAATGCTGATTCCTAATGCTGGGAGTGAGATTATATTTGCCACAAGACAAACTGAGTTGAAGAAGGAAACACTTAAGTTGTAGTCGTATTTTGGCTTTAGATTTGCAGAAGGCCCTGGACTAGGTGCCTACTGCTGCTTTTCCCAACTGGACTTGGAACTATGAGAATTATAGTCTAGGGGTGTCAAATTGGTGGCCCACGGGCCAGCTGTGTCACCTGCAGGCCACGCCCACCCCAGTTCCGCGAAGATGTTGTGGTTAGCCGGCAGCAGGTGTGGACGGTGGAGGAGAGCAAGGACTCTGATGAGGGTCCAGGACCATTAGGGAGTGGATTGCTGCCTTCGGAGATTGTGGGGGCTGGCAGCAGTGATGAGGAGGTTCCTGAGGAGCCTGTGCCAAGTGCACGTGCGCACATGATTGATCGTAGGAGAGAGCAGTTATAGTAGCACAGGCGACTCGGAGTAAGGCTGCAAGGTAATGGCCCCTCCCTCAAGAGGATAAAAGCCAGGTTTGTAGAAGCATTCTTTGCAGACAGCAAAGATGCTCTGAGACTCAGCCTCGTGGACATCATAGTTCGTGTTTGGAAAATCCTGTGAATTAGTTCTTATCTCTGGGGTTTTGGCAGCCTTGACAAACAACTTGGCAAGGCTCTTTCTTGTTGGAGCTAATTAGTGGGAAGGAACAGAATTTGTGATTAAACCTTAAAAGGTGGGGGTTGCTGCCTTTGTCTGTGTTTGCTCCCTTGGAACCCGGTTCGGTCAGAACAGAAGGGGGGGAAAAATGTCATGATATGTCACATGACAGCAATGTGATGCAGCGAGTTTGACACCCATACAATGGGAGAATAAGTGGTGAAGGCAGGCTGGCTTAGTTGTTGAAAAGCACCAGATATCCAAGTTGTGCAATCACAACAGAGAATTTTTTCCCCCCAAGAAATAAGTTGCCTCTGTCCTTCATTCATTTGACAGATCTCCAAACCAACTTTTTTTTTTCATTCCTCTATTCAAAATAACTTTGCTGAGAAAAAAAAAAAAAGATCCAATTACCCTGCAGATACCTTGGCTCCATCCATGTTCAAGAATGCATAGATTTAAAAACAAATATGCACAATTATCTGTAGAAAGGTTAAAAAGATGAATACAGGGAGTCCTCAACTTACAACCATTTGTTTAGGGACCATTAGAAGTTATAATGGTACTAGAAAAAAATGACCAACGAGTGTTTTTCCCACATGAGCACTGCAGAATTCCCATGGTCACATGATCAAAGTTTGGATACTTGGCAACTGGCATGTACTTTGACGGCTGTAGTACCCCAGGGCCATGTGATCACCTTTTGTGATCTTCTGTCAAGCAAATTCAATGAAAAGCCAAATTCACCTAACTACCATGTCAATTATTTAACAACTGTACTAATTCACTTAACAACCGTGGTTAAAAAAGGTCAAAAACGGGGCAAAATTTACTTAGTCCTGTCTTACTTAGCAATGGAAATTTTGGGTTCAATTGTGGTTGTAAGGTAGGGACTAGCTATATGTACCAGTTAGCATTTGTCCTTTTAATATATTTGAAGTCTTAAACTTTCCAGAAGCAGCCTGTTCAAAACTGTTCAGTTTTCTCTAACTTTAAATTTATTACTAGTAAAACAATCTATATAGAGGATTCAAGAACCTAAGGAGTGTGGGGGAGAAGCATTATTTACCTTGAGTCTGCCACAGGCAGGAGGACACCCCATCAAAAGGATTTTATCCCTTAGCAAGTTTTGTTTTGAGAACAAAGCAAGTTCGTCATTTTACTTCCCTATTTTTCAAGTCTTACATTTAATATTCTTGCTAAATCTCTAGATACAGAGATCTGTTTCTCTGAGGGTTATAGCAACAAGAACAAGCATGTTTTTTTTTTCTACCAATAAGCTACTCGGGGTTACTGGGACACCTTAGAAAAAAATATTTCTGAGAGGAAAAGCTTAGGAAATATTTTTAGCAAGGAGTTATTCTGGGAATGCAAAAACAAAAACAAAGGCAACATGATAAATTCAGAAGATTGAGCAAATGGATCCCTTTACCACCAAGATCGCCAAACTTTTCTGGCAACAAGATAGAGAAGACATTCTTGTCAGTAAAATGTAATGATAATAAAATCATAACAATAAATCACCTCTTCCTTCTGTAGAGATCCTCAGTTATCCAGGTCATGGTTATCCCAAAGGTGCTTTTTCAGGACGCAAATGGACTTTCTTGGGTTTTTTTGTTTTTTGTTTTCTTTGTTTTCTTTTGAAGACGTTTCGCTTCTCAGCCAAGAAGCTTCTTCATCTCTGACAGGATTCACTCCCCATTCCCCATTCCCCGCCATCCTGTCAGAGATGAAGAAGCTTCTTGGATGAGAAGCGAAACGTCTTCAAAAGAAAAAAAAACAAGAAACTCAAGTTGCCTCCTGAAAAAGCACCTTTGGGACACTCCCTTCCTTCCTTCCTTCCTTCCTTCCTTCCTTCCTTCCTTCCTTCCT